CCCAGCACAAAATACCAACAATGAGGCAAGTTGCAAAATACAATTAAACTGCCGAAGTGCGCCACTTTCTACGACATTACCTTTTCAGTGTTAGGTTGATTGGCAGATTTTTGTGCTAATTCGTTTAGGTTTAGCAGGCAATTTGATTCCTTTGAGATAAAACTGGGTATTTGACAATCGACAAAATAATTAAAGGATTTTCGATAATCCGCATGGCTGTTGCATTTTTTATAAATAACATTCACAGCTTTTAGTACTATTCAAAAGTATTACCGAAAGATTGAAATACATGTCCAAGACTCTTCAAGGACGAGTGTTCGACTTGAGGCGCCACTTTCAAGTGCTACCGACTGAAGTCAAGAATGACGTGAGTCGAATGCGAAACCATTTTCTGGCGCCCGATGTCATGAAGCGTGTTTTTGTGCCGACTGCCATCCCAAAAGTCTCCGGACACGTTTTGCTACGCGTCATCAATCACGAATTAGCGCAAACTTCCAAAGCTAACTACTCTCCAATTTACGCAAAGCAAGTGGCCGATGGTCTGGTTCAAAGTGGATTTTTGACGCCTAAAAAAAGCACTAATACCATGGGAAACTTTGATTTTGAGGCATCAAACGCTGAGTTTTTGGGAGTAGACAAGGAATTGACAGATCAGCAGACCACTTCAGTTTGGAGTGTCACAGATGGAGCAATACAAGCGGGTACATTGTATCGTAAGAAGGAGGGTATTCTTGCCAAAATCTTTGGTGAACGTGAGCCGATCTACGTGGTAGCTAATGACAAACACAAAAAGGTTTACGTTTATGAATCGGATGTGGCTCTTGAATCACTTGTTGAATTTCATGTGACGGAGAATTCTACAGTTGAATTTAGCCCAGAAATGCAACACGGGATTAAATTGACAAATTCTAACAACACGGAGGTTTTCTCCGCCGAAAGCAAAGAGAAACAGGAAGAATGGCTAAACTCATTTATCAATGTCGGGGCACAGTATCGTGAGGTGTTTAATGTAGAGGATACAGCCAAAATCAAGTCGTTTTATGAGCTTAAAGACTTTGACATGGATGGAAACGAAGTTCCCATGAGCAAATTCAAAGGAAAGGTTGTACTGGCTGTCAATGTGTCTAGTAAGTGTGGATTTACACCTACAAACTACCCGGAATTACAGCAGTTGTATGCAAAGTACAAAAACGAAGGCCTGGAGGTGCTAGCATTTCCGTGCAATCAATTTGGTGGTCAGGAACCAGGCACGCATGAAGAGATAATGGAATTCGTC